GAGGCTGCAGGGCAGGTGGAAGGGCTGCGTGGGGAATACCCCCCAGCACAGGCCCTGCCTTTCAAACAGGGGTGTATGAGGCCCCAGGGGCGGCCCTACTGACTGATGGTCCCCGGGGCTGTAGCTACGCTGCCTTGTCAGCATATCTGGGGTCGGTAAGACGGAGGGACCGACCCCCTTCTAGGGCCAGGAGGGCAGTTCAGCCTCTGGGGTCCAGAGAGACCTTGGCCTCTCTGCTGGGGCAGCCAGCAAGGGGGTGGGACGCTGTTATAGTCAGTTCTCCTGCTTCCTTTGGACTAAAACGCCGGATGAAAAGCGGGGCTGTGAAGGCTCTTTGAGAGCTGGTCCTGTAACTGAAGGCAGGATGGCCTAATGATTAGCACACAGGGCGCTAGTCCCGGAGCCACTGGTTGCTCATTTCCTGGCCTGGGTTAGAATATTTTACCCAGGCGGAGGTCTTTGAAGGGGGAGATCTATACAGTGGTAAAGCAGTATTATTAATTATTATTATTAACAGGGCTTTTCTCCCCTTCCCCCCAGGTAAAGGCCAGCATGGGGCATTCCTGTCTCTTGACTCCCGGGGATGCGCTGCAAACCACCAAGGAATCTTTTGTTGGTTGGGGAGATGGGGAAGTCTTGTTTTTCCACTGTGAGAAATACAGGAACAGGTGGGGACTAAAGAGATCAGTGCGTGTCCGTCACCAGCAGGAGAGAGGCGGGGAAGGAATAAACAGCAGTGATTGATTAAAACACCAAGCACTGATTAATTAAGGCAGATTTTAATATGAAACGCCGTCTCTGTGCTCCAGGTGTGCTGCTCCCAGACGCTGTTCCCCAGGAGATAGGTGTAAGCTGGCCAACCTTTCAGGGTGCTTGCCAGAACATCAGTTAAGGGGTTAATATTGCCCGCCGCCATAAGGACCCCAGCTAGGGTGACCAGATGTCCCAATTTTATAGAGACAGTCCCAATTTTGGGGTCTTTTTCTTATATAGGCTCCTATTGCCCTCCCCCCCCCCCACACACACACACCCCTCCTGTCCCAATTTTTCACACTTGCTGTCTGGTCACCCTAACCCCAGGGGGGAATGTGCAATCACAGGCACCCACCTTCGCACGCCGGTGCCCTCCCACCACCCATGCAGCACAAGGCTAGAAACACACTCATGCAGCTGGGTAGGTGGGGACCGTGCCATGGTGACCTGGCTTGGGAAAGTCCGCTCTTCTTCTCCGTAGCATGGAGCCGGGCAAGGTATTGAAGACCACAGAGGGAGTGTCTAAGCTATATAGACCTGAGCCAAGATTTCTGGAACCCTGTTAGCCAAAGCAGAGGACTGAATGGAAGAGAGAACTGGGCCTCCAGTGGGGAAGTGAACTCTCTGTATAGCTAGCATACTGTTTGCAGGGTTGTTCTAGCCATGTTGGTCCCAGGATATTAGCGAGACAAGGTGGGCGAGGGAATCTCTTTTATTGAACCAGCTTCTGGTGGTGAGACACACAAGATTTCAAGCTCCACCGAGCTCTTCAGGTCTGGGAAAGGCACCAGAGTGGCCCAACTAAATACCAGCGGGAACAGCTTGTTTAGCATAAGGAGTTAACACATGTTGCAAACCACCATTCAAGGTGAAGTGGGCAGTTAACACCTCTGTAGTCTGAGGCCAAAAGAGGACTACTGGGTTACAGATTGTTGTAAGAAGCCATAGTTAAGGCTACATTTATGTCAGGGAGGTCAAGCAACCAGGGCCGGTGCAACCCATTAGGCGACCTAGGCAGGCACCTAGGGCACTACAATTTGGGGGATGGCAATGGGACCTTCCGCCGCCTCGGGGGGGGGCGGCATTTCGGGGCGGGACCTTCTGCCGCCTAGGGCGGCAGAAAAGCTGGCAGCGCGCCTGCAAGCAACAGGTGACAGACTCCTAAGGGGGCCCTCCTAGAATCATAGACTATCAGGGTTGGAAGGGACCTCAGGAAGTCATCTAGTCCAACCCCCTGCTCAAAGCAGGACCAATCC